GGGGAGATTTCTGTCTAGAGGTTGTAGCTAATAAACACAGTGGAACTGAATTTGCATCGTCTCTTGGAGTTCTTTGGGCTAGACCTGACAGGCCAGGACAAAATTAGGTATCTTCCTAACTTAATTTACTTTTACTTTATTTTACCTAAATTAAATATATTTAACGTGAGCTGTTTCTTTCCTCAGTCACACTAAAATGTATAATTTGATAACAGCTGCAATGCATTGGGAGACAACATCTGGACCGAAGCCATCTCTGCAATACTAGGGGAACCCAGCCATTTGGCTCGGTAGAACATAGTTTGGTGCTCAGTGTAATCTGTGAACCTACCATTGAGGCTTAGCCACCAAAGATGATTGAACAAACCATGGCTTAGGATAATGCGTAAAACCAGCCACTGTGGTTTGTCTCATCAGCAAGAGCCACAGGCAGAATGGCTCTGCCATCCAAAATTGAAAACCAACGGGGACAAAATCACCAGTGATGGGTTTTGACCAGGTCATGTTAGCCTTAAGGCACCAGGTCTTGGACCTGGAACAGCAATTCAAGCAACCAACCCTTCTCGAGACAGTATTACAATATTAGACCACCAAGATATAAACATCAGACAGAAGATCTTATCATTAGCTTGATTGGTTGTTTAAGAAGGGATATGCATGGCAATCCTTTGTCCTGGTGCACTTAGAGCCATCAAAGGTACGGCTGGCTTTCTCTTCTCCCTTGGTCAAGTTCCCACAACATTCAGACTCAATTCTATTAACGTGACTTCCTGTCCAGCCAGAACGATACCATCTCCTTACATCTTGTTAAATTCTCTTTTATTGCCTGCAGAACTTGCCAAGAATTAACCTTTATTATCTTTACTGTTATTTGGTTTTGTGCTTTATTGTTTTATTCCATTGGCTAGCTTTACTGATTTGCTGATGTAGTCTTGCTATTCTTGGTGCTTATTTCTGGTTGGTGACCATAATAAATTCAAATTCAGAGACAAAATCCCTTGCAAGGAACAGCTCCACTGGCACTGAAGGCCCCAAGGCTTGGGTCCCAAGACTTCAACTTTGTTTGATCTGGACTTTCCATTCCTTTTTTATTAAGCTCTGCATAAATTAATATAGCAATTAAATTGTAAAACCTAACTTACTGGGGCTTTCTTGTCAATGGGCTTGATGACAAACTTCTTATCATTGAAGGAAATGTTTCTGATCTCACTCCAGGGGAATCCAATTTTGGGTGTTAACCTGTGAAAGATGAGCAAGAAGCTGATTTATTGTTTCAAAAATTAAACCCCAGTGAACAGCTGCAGCAATGCAAACACTTGTCTTCATTCACACAGTATGTGTGTGTGTGTGTGTGTGTATTTCCCACCAACGAAAATATTTGGATTTGGAATAGCAGAAGTGGAAATTCCAAATTTACCAAACTACATAACTGAACAGATGTACAAAATGAATGGCATATCAGCACAAAAAGGATGCTCACTCAAGTTTCTGGAATCCAATTACAGGGATCCAGTACAAGCCATGAGTGATGTCAAAATGATTACCAGTGTATAATCTGCATCATTTGTGTGATGACATCATGTTGGGCGTGTTGTTTCTTATCCCCCCTACAGATGCCTACAAATCCAACCTTGAACCCCAAAAGAGCAGAGATCATGAGTGAGGGGAGAAACGCCCAGTTTAGAATGCCATGCAGGTCCCACCCTACACACTCTCCCACCTCTGATTTGGTGCAAATCCTGCAGCACTGCCAATCCGCTACACAAAGGCCAGGGAAGATGTCCTCATATTGTATTTACCTAAAACTGTGCTTTCTACTTTAGATTATGTGCTGCCTAACAAGACAAGGATCATCTGCACCAATCAGTTTCAGAAGGAATAATTTTCCTACTAATTAAAATCTATGTGGACAGGAAGTCTCCTGATATATGAAACGAAAATTGTCCAGAACAATTCTTGCAGTCTAATGAAGATGCAGACCATACAGAGACAATTTAACCAATGAGCTTAGTTCCATATAATATGAAGGGGAAAAGCTTATTTAACCTGAGGAAGTTTCTCACTCCTGTTTCGAGGGTTGAATGAGGATGAGAGCAAAATGGGTCACAAAACAGCTATGAGTCTGGGGAAGTAATTTACTTTCTGGGAAATAATTATGTTGGATGGCAAGTTGCATCCAGTGAAAATCCGTTAGTAGATTCATAGAATTGTGTGAGAACTACACAAACAACCAATGACAAACCAATGTTGGTACAGGAAGTCTCTCTAGGTAAGACAGGGCTAGACAGAGTCAACATAACAACCTATCAGTAACAATGCCAAAACCTCACAAGATAAAAAAGAGAAGAAGGCTGCTTGTGGATAATATTCCCAACAGTATGGAAGTATCTACTTGATCAAAGCAGGAAGTGGCTGTTAACACAGGTGGAGACTTGGTCAGATCCAATTGTGCCCTGCACTTACAAACACTCCCCCTCTCTAAATTTCTCTCTCTCTCAGACACACACACACACACACCACACACTCTATAGGAAGAGTAAAGAGAATAGCTTTGTTACCGGTCATTCTGTTCATAAATGTTGAGTCCAAGAGCGTCTACTCCCAACCAGAGTTCTGAACCCTTCTTATTCTTAATACTGAAGTAGTTCACACCATACATCTCCAGATCTTGTGCAATTTTCAGATATTCTAAGATGGCATCTTCTCTGAAAGTACCAAGAAGACAAAACAGATGTTAACTTTGAAGACTAAGTCCTTGCAGAGTATTCTCAACCTTTTTCGAAGTGGATGTCATGGCATCCAAGAGGGCCACAGCCCATTTGACTGGAGTATCTGTGATGGTTAGGACACAGGGTTGTCTGCTTTGGAGTAGCAACTGACTGGGTCAGCCATGTCGTGGAAACACAGACACTTCATCAATCTTCCCATCTGTCTTAAGAGTAGGTGGGGTGACCACAAGTTATGGTAAAAAAAAAAAAAGTCAAGATGGCGGTTGCAATGGTGTGTAACTGTTTTTATGTGCAGCGCCATCTTAGACTTTCTTTACCACACCTTGCAGACGCCCCTGCCAGTAGAATAGCTTACAAGGGGACTTGTAAAAGTCACAAAGAATGCTCTATTTTGAGCCACAGATGTACCTGAGCATCCCCCGATGTTCCTCATGCCACACCTGGATTCTTTCTTCCCACTGATCCTTGTTAAGCTTATGCTGTTCCAAAACTCTAGGAGGCAAAGAGAGGAAGACATATTAGGATGCGTGGATGGCTCTGCCAGAAACTAACGCTTGAGCCGTATGTATTTCAGACATGACCATCTTTTAAAAACTGTCTCGAAGGCCTCCACTCCGTGGAAGAGGGTGGCATGAATGTGGATTGCAGATGATGTTGGAATTGCTTGTGGACTGTGATGGAATGGAATTATGAAGGCCAGGCTCAGGGAGATAAGCATTTTCTTAGCTCGCTGCAGGAGCGTGGGAA